TTTTAAATGGTAAACAAATAATAAGACAAAAAGTTACATTGGAAATACATTTTAGGGGTTGCGTTTTCCACCCCTTACAACCATGGGGTAAACAAAATAAATTTCTGGCTAAGTGTCTTTTTGGTAGTACAAAACGTCAGGTTAATTTCAATATTGTAACTTTTTTAGTGCTTGTGAAAAAAATTGTTTTACAAAGTGTATGTTCCCCCTTTAAGGGCTGTATCTTAACAAGGGATGCTCCAATGAAATTTCTTTATATGAAAGATCCTATCTTTTTTTCGATGAGGAATCACCTCCTTAAATGTTTTACATTTATTTAGTTACACTCTGTATTTCTGTAAATTCATGAAGATAAGTAGAAAAAAAAGAATTGCAACTCACCGGATATGTAGCTTGACCAATGAAGTTGGCTTCGCTGAAAGCGTCTTCATCTTTGACGACGAAGCTCAACATTGCGAAATCCGGATTGGTAACAACAAATTCACATATTGCTCCTTTCCATCTGGGGTTGAAGCCGTTATCATTAATTTTCTCAGTTTCCATCTTCACTCCAGAATCGTAAGGAGCTCCGATCACCTCCACTTCGACAAAAGGGTTAGCACTCCCTTTTTTCGATCTGCACAAGTGCCTTCCTGCTATTATCCTTATAGATATAGTCAGGGGTTCGACTCCAACGAGCGTCTTTTCATCGAACGGATCGAAATCGTCTCTATTCATGAATTCGGGCTTCAACAAGTACCCGCAATTGCCATTATCCCGAAATTTGGCCTGATTTAATTGCATTGATCTGCCTCCGGTTTGAAAGTTCAGTGCTAGCATTTGCGATCCGCAGTTCCACAGATTTATAGGATTGAAGTTCAATGAGTTCCACGTGAAATTAGGATAAACCCTGGAAAATTGAACTTGATGATACTTCAAGAAGAGTTTCCTCTCTTGCTGACAGATTAGTTTGTCGGCTCGCTTTTCCGGGAAAGATGACATTTCGTAGAAGACGAACTCCTGCTGCCTGGCTTTTTCCAGATCGAATTGTTTGGACTGGCAGTATATAATGAGGTTCGATATTTCCTTGGCTATTTTATGATCTCTTTCCAAACTCCTATTCTTGTCTTCCCTGCGTGAAGCCATCTGAGTAACTTGGTGAATGGCCAAACACCATTCTTTCGCCTGAAAAATATGTTGTTACAGTCGAGAAGGTTTTTCAGCCTAACAGCACTAAAACATTGTTGTAAAGTGGAAAAACTATTTTAAAAATCGGTTTAAACGCATGTAAAGTGTATCGGTCTTTAAACACTTTGTTTCAATAACGATTTTTCTTCTTCCTTTTGTAAAAAGATGGCTCTCAAAGAATCTAGAGCTGAATTCCGATTTGAAAGGGGGATGAAAAATCATAGACTCAAATTTTAACTGAAAGTGAGAACAATAGGCTACATAAACATTTTTTGTATTGGCAAAGGATAACTTTTTAGGTAAATTGAAAGGGGTATATTTTTAGGAGCGATTAATCTTTAGGAAAAAAAGGTATCGGCTTTCTAATTCTCCGGTGTCCGCCATTGAGGATGACTGTCTTCCATGTAAATGAAATTTTACCTCTTACATATACTATATTGTATAGCAATCCTGTGAATGATATCTGATTCAATTCCATAACGAATTTACCAACTAAATTGAAAAAGTCATGGATCTGAACCCTGAAAGATATAGTATGTGCTGTGAAAACAATTAGAGCATTGAGAAAGTTGCCTCCCACCTTTGTTATTCACCGCAGTTGTGGACGAAACGTCAACATGAAAATCTGATAAACATAAACCCCACACAATCACTGCCATTATTAAATGACTCTGGCGGTAGAATGTGATAAAGCCAAAGGATCGAGAATATATTATATCTATGTTTCTATTCTCTACTTTTGTATTAAAAATGTCCTGCATTTTTATATCCTAAAGACAATATAGTTTTTTGATAGCAGCGAAATAGAATAATAGTTTCCATTAGGAATTTGTCACTATATATCCTAAGTCATTTTACAAATCAGAGTTAGAGACCGTCAAACATTTACTTGCAATTTCTAGAAAAAGTGATGGAAAACTTTTCAAGAGACATGTATTTTCGAAAAAAAGTAGAATCTCTTTAAAATAGAATATCGTAAACTAGGGGAGTATTTTTTTCAACGTTTCATCAATACTGTGCCAACCCAAGAAGAAACTGAATGACCGCCATCATTCACTGGGACAGAATTCAATAGTTATCAAAACAATTAAGACCCTGTGCTAGGAATCGCACGTTAGAGGGTATGACCTTGTTGATGCTTTGCACGCACAAGTTTTGACTTCTAAGGGTTGTCGTCTGTAGGGGGCGACAACTGGTTAACAGAAAAATAGATTTCAACAGTTTTTTTCAACAAGACAGACATACTTTATTTAATAATATTTTGCATATAATACACATTAATGGCAAGTCAAAAAGGTATGACTAGTAATAATGCTGAAGAAGAAAATATCAATTGAAAGTTAAAAACTATGAACTAGGACAACATTTATAATAAACACAAAAGATATCAGTCTATATATGGTGGGATACTTGTGAATGTCTGATGGACAGAAACTATACCTTTTGTTTCATAAATCTCTTGCAAACTGCATAAAAATGCAAGGCAAAGGGAGAACCTTATATGAAAAATGAAAAGTGATTTGCATAGTTCATTGAAATGTACATATTTAAACCAGGTACAGAAAATAGCAATGACAGTTTCAAATCTTACCAATTCTTCAGTTTGTACTCCGCATTCAAAGGCAGTGTAAGCTGTAGCAGGAACTATCCTGACGATCCAGTCCATTCCTTGACCTGTATTCCGTTTATAATCAGCAACAACTCCAGTCATTTCTAGACATCCCTGGAATCACAATATCGTCAAAGAAAAAACTCAAAAAAGGCTGAATTTTATTGGTAGGAAAAGTTTTTCACAAAGTCCACTGGAAAAAAGTTGAAAGTGAAAATTGGAGGTTAGATCTACATCTTTAGAATGATCCATTTTTCCCAACAATTCTAAAAATGATTACTCCCAACTGTGTACTTACAGATTCGCCAATTTCTTGAGTTTCACTCTTGCTGATTTCTCTCACATAATTTTGCGGAAAGTAGTGTTGCCGAAGACCACCATAGTCTCCTTTCCACCAACCTTTACTGTCAGTGTTCTTGTTGACATTCGTTATGATGGCGTGCTTACAAAATGACAGTTCGTCTTCCCGATCTGACCTATAATCGTAGATGGCTATGACGGTCCCACTGGAGTTGATAGCACTAGGTTCCATGTATGATGGTGTCGGATATGATGAATCATTTTGTTCCTGGAACGAATATTGACAAGTTAGCAATAGGTAATATAAACAGTAGTAACCTAAACAGCAGTAAACTAAACAGTAGTAACCTAAACAGTTGCAACCTAAACATTGGTAACAAAAAAGGTAGTAACCTAAACAGTTGTAACAAACGCAGTAATAACAAAAACAGTAATTAACTTGAACAATAATTATGTTAAAATTAACTCAGCTATTGGACTTTGTAGGAATAACGATCGAGAATTAATTACAGCGAAATGAATGAAAAACTTACTATAGACATATTTTAGACATATTTACAAGATAATTTTATGCTTTGCACTAGGTGCATTATCTAAGCCAATGGCTTGTATTACAACTCACCTTGTGCTAGAGAGTCATTTTTCAAAATATAAAAATAAAAAAAAATCTTAAATTAAATTTAAATGATTGAATACCTAATAATAATATTGGTTGGTAGATACAATCAAAAAAGAAAAAGAAGGGAAAGAAGAAACTACGATCATAGATCATAGAGAGAGAGAGAGAAAATTGTTGTTGCAAATACTACGTGTGGTGATAACGACCTGTTTTTCACAGTGATTTAATGCATACATGTATATCAGTAAACAATGTTTCCAAGCTTGACATAATTCTCTTCAATGAATTTTTTCAATTCTATAGAGAGTTTAAGTTTCGATTTGATTTTTCGTATGTACTCGGGAACCATGTTGAGAAGTTTTGGGCCAAAATAAGTTATGAATCTTTGTGGTAGAGACTTTTTATAAAAAGGAACAGACACTAGATTATTAGAAATAGACCTCGTATTGTAGGAATGACTAGTATATGTGTAGGTTTTGGTTTTCATCATCCAATGTATACATTGGTATATATAAATTATAACTATGACTATGACCATTATAAACTATGACCGGACAAACCATCTTAAATATTTTTGATTTGTTTTACGATAGTATTGTTTTCGGTATACGCGATCCAACAAGAAAGTTAAATTTCCAACAAGAAAGTTAAATTTCCAACTTTATATTGAGGATATTTGAAAATATTCTGTTGTTCCAGTGGTTTTTTACGCCAGAGTTCCAGTTTTAGCTTTTAGTTATACAGGGTGGTTAAAACATCGAAAAATCTTTTTTTAAAAACTCAAAAACATGACATATCTTCTATGAAATATCATTATTATTCTTTCCCATTCCTAAATTACTAAAAAAACGACGGCATCTGAAGCTGGAATGCGATAAAAATTAGGGGTTAGTGAAAAACAAATGTAACGATTAGAATCGATTAAATTGAATTTGTACTCGTTTTATTGTACAAATTTTGAAGTCCAGTGATAATTCAGTTGAAGAGTTGTTCACATATTTGCATTATCCGTATTTGCCATGCAAATGATAAAATACGCTTCATTATTATTTTAAAAATCACTTTTGAGAATTTTCATTTCTATAAGTAAGAAAGTCTGTTTCAACAAATAATTGTAGTGTTATTTTGCAAACTTAGTGCAAGTTTTTAAAATTACTTAAGAACTATAGAACATTTTTTGAACATTCTCAATTGAAAGTTGAAAATTTAACTGTACTTTGTTTCCGAAGAAGTCTTCTCGAAAATTCAAACAATATTAAAACCAATCCCGTCGAAAAGTCTCATAGAATAATTTGAAAACTATAAAAAACGCATAACGTACATAGAGGTAATTTTGATAGGTTTTGAGGTCTCCCATTTTAAAATAATTTAAAGATATCCATTTGAGCCACCCTGTATAAAATACGGTGGGCCAAAAACACGTCGTTTGTTTGTAAGTGAGCGACTTTAGACCCAAATACCATTGCAAAACTACTACTGTTTAGGTTACTACTGTTTTTGCAAAAGTGGTAGTATAATCTCACAATCTTTGGGGAAATGGGGTTCGAATGATACCCAATTAAAAAGAGACTTTATAGAACTGCACTGCACTCATTTTCAATGAAACATTTTTCACCCCTCATCCATCCCCATCGTGAGAGCAACCCCCGGTACAGGTTCAAGTTTAGAGTAATGGGTGAGTAGAACCTAAATCGATTTTTTTTGTCAAATCGGTGCTGTTTGGCAAAACTGTACAGTATCGCCGTATTGTCACTTGAACTTGAACACCTCCCGTGAAAGTATCTATAGAAGAGAGACAAATCTCCAACCTTTCTTCGATGTTCCAGACTATCAAGGTTGCACGAGATGTTCGCGTCTCCAATCAGGTGGATGCCTCTTTTCTGGATGGAATCCAGCAACTTCAGAATATGTTTGGAGGCAGAGTGTCATACATGAGAACAATACTCCAAAGAAGGTCTGATCTGAGCTTTATAAAGTATCAAAAGTTGCTGAGGTGTGTATAGTTTTCTGGTTCGAAACAGTGTTCCAAGCTTTTGAGAAGCGGTCTTTGCAATTCCAATTAAATGGATTGAAAATACTGAACGAGAGTTATTTTTTGTGGAGAAAATAAATTTTTGTCGATCTTTTTTAGAACAAAAAAGGTCCCTATAAATGATTTTTATTGTTATCAAAATGCACAAGATACTATGTCTATCAGAGAACAGGCGTCCCCCAAAAACCCGATACTCACTGAATGGCAAACACTACAAATTGTTCGAGAAAAATGTACCTTCAACATTGAGATTAATATTATAGATTTTCATACAGAATTAATTTATTTGTTGCATTTGAAAGCTCCATATATATCTTTTGAGTTCAATATGCCATTTTACAGACGACTAAAATGCTTTATAACAAATAATTTAGCCTGAAAATACCAATTTTGTTCAATCAAAAATTTTTGAAGTAAGCTTTGAAATATCAAAAATACTTCTGTAATTATTTATCAGTTCAATTTTTGATAAATGAACAACGCCGCTTCATTAAAAGAAAAAAGCCTGTGTGTAATTGAAACTGTTATACTGCAATCATTTTATTTTGAGCCAATCCCTAAAAAAATGCTTTGTGATAGTTTGGTGCTAAGCCACTACAACTACAGTGACTTCATATATGGACTATACTTATACAATTCAAATAAAAAAGAATACAAAAAGTTCGAAATTTGTGTTGCCGTCTAATTTATGGAATTCGTAAGTATGATTCCATTTCCGAAGGCATTAAAAACTCCTGCTGGCTCAATATACATGATTCATCATTTGGGTTGTTTTGATCATAAATTGAGTAGCCTTCCCCATTCTCCCCTTTTAATTCAAAAACCAATTCTGCGTGCAGATATCCACTCAATAAATATCAGTAATAAAAAAAATGCTAAACAGTTTCGAAATCATTTCTTTTCGATGCTGCGAAACTGAGAATTCAATGAACGTTTCGAATGAGAAACGGACAAAAAATACGGAAATAGTAACAAAAAAGTTTTTCTAGCCTATTTTATGGCCAAGTGAAAAAAAGTGATGTATTATTATACTAGTCGGCGATAAAGGACAATGTTCAAATCAAAGTTGCCGTTTTTCAATTGCGTTGTATTTATAAGCCACCGAAAAAAAAATAGACAATGTTCCTGGATTCGCCTTTTGGCAATCAAACCAAAAAAACTTCATAAGATATTCTAGCATTCTTCCAGCCTTCAACATTTTTATAGCTTTACACGCCTCCGAGATAACACCGTCAACAAGTACCAAATACTTCCAACAACGATAAATACCGGGGTCGGAGACAAAAAACGTAAATGGACCCTCATAAGTCTTTATTACATAACTCGTTATCCGATGATTAGAACCTGAAAAACTTTTAGTAATCTGCTATATAGAATCGAAAGAGAAATAATTATGGAATAAAAGGCAAAGAGACCCATAGGTTACGCGCCCGCTAACGCCCAAAACTACTTTCCGGTGGCGAAGGTATTCAGAAGCAATAACCCTTTGATAAATGGCCCGTGGCCGGTCGACCAAAGGACGGCATTCCAGTCTAGGGTTAAAAAACTACGAAGGGATTACATTACCTTCGGACCATGATTTTTAAATTCAGTTGTGAACGGTGACCCAACACGTCACTTTTAAGGGCCTGTTCAGTTAATTTTTCGTTCGAATTTGTGTGTGAATATATTATAAAATGTTGAAAATATTTTGTTTTTTGGTAAGTTTGGAATCAAATTGAAACACTATTCACAACATAAAAAAAGATTGAAACTTTAATGATTTTCAAACCATTTCTTGACATGCAACCACAAGTTCCCGAATCTAAACGATACGGAAATTTTGTACTATGCAAGGAAGGGTTACAAATCCAATTATTTAGAATCCTTAGAAATTCACAAGCAACATTGCGGGTGCAACCTGTTAAATGATCAGATCGATTTAGTTTACTCACAGGTTTTCAAATTAGCACATCCACATTGTAAATTGTAAATTCAGGTACTCAATCAAGCAAAGTACCTCAATTATTACCTACAGGGGTGCAATATAAAGGCTAATGTAATAAACCATTGTTAGCTACATCCATCAATTTATTTAAAACAAGATTGCTAGATCATCCTTACACTGAAAATATGATTGAAAAATAAGTGGAAAAACAAAATAATTTTTTTTTCTATCTGACACATTCCATACATTTAAGAAGGTGAGACTCAAACCTTTCTTCTGAAAATGAAGAGTTTTGAATTCATGATTGAACTATGTCCCTCTGTCAGAAGGTGAGTAGCATATGTTGAATCCATGTTTCTATTCATTCTGAAAGTTCTGTTCTTTCATGCGTGCTTCAAATGTTATTCCAGTTTGGCCTATATAAGTCATCGGACATGATTATAGGACAATTTATAAATTCTTGATCTATCTTGACACATTCCATACATTCCAGAAGGCTGAGATTCAAACCTTTCTTCTGAAAATGAGCAATCATGATTGAACTATGTCCCTCTGTCAGGAGGTGAATAGCATATGTTGAATCCATGTTTCTATTCATTCTGAAAGTTCTGTTCTTTCATGCGTGCTTCAAATGTTATTCCAGTTTGGCCTATGTAAGTCATCGGACATGATGATAGGACAATTTATACA